CTCATATATATAATATATATATATAGTTACTAATATATTACTATACCTATATACAAATACCTCAGATATATATTATATACTATTATAATATGTATGAGTACTATTATATATGACTATATATAGCTATATATATATACATTACAATATAATAAAATTTATTTTACCTTTAATAATTATATAAAATACTCCTCAATTATATTATACTATATATATGTACACACATATGTGTGTGTATAGTGCTCAGACGAACCCAGATAACAAAAACGTTGTAAAGAAACGACAGTTTATATTGAAAACTTTATGAAGATTTTGAAGACGAAAGGAAAGTCCATCAATCGAACACTTTTTTAGAGTAGATATCTATTTTTTTTTAATGTTCCTACTTTATCTTCTTCCACCGTTTTATCCCTCTCAATGCTAAATTTCTAAATCTTTCTACCTTTAATTATGGATTTATCTATTCATTCATATATCTATATATTTAATTCGATCATTTGTCTCTGGCTTTCATACACACAAAGGCATAATCAGGTACAAACACACATACATATGTACGCATAATAACATACACAAATATTAACATTATCCGTGTACGTGTTAAAATCTCAAGTTATTCTATATTATCTGGGAAAAAAATAGAGAATGTGAGATGCAAAGATAGAGAAAAGGAATAGGAGAAAGAACACAAAATGAGAATGATGGTGATGATAATGACACTGAAACAAAAGTAATAATGATACACAGTAATAGCACTAGTTTTCATAACAGTTGTAGTTATGACACCACTCTGCTACAAATAATAGCGATGCTAGTAACAGTAATAGTTCTAGTGATAATGATAATAATGATAATAATAATGCTTATGATAATGGTTATGGTAAGGATAATAATAATAGAAATAATCATAAAGGGAATGGTAATGTGGTAATGATAATGATAATAACATTGATAATGATAACAATAATAATGATTATATAAAAATAATAATCAACTATCATAATCATAGAAGTGATGGCAATTATGATAACAATGATAATGATAACAATAACAATAATAGTGATAACAATATGATAATGACAATGATGATTATAACAAAAGTAAAAGTAATGGAGATCATAAAAAAATAATTATCAGAATGGTACCAAGAGGATGGATAGCAGGTGTTGAATAAAGACAGGAACAAGAAGGAAAGGTCAAAAAGCAATAAGTATGTGTGCATATGTATGTGCTGGTATTCATGTACGTAAAACTAGCACTTACGTACACACTTATCTTTTGACTTTCACCATGATTTGTTGGATAAGCAATAAAACATTACTTTACAAGGACATTTATTTTATTCACCCATCAGTCATCATTATTACAATATTATTACTATTCAAAATATTTACACACAAGAGAAAAAAAAAATCCAAGAGATAGAGGGGGGTGGGGTGGGGGGAGCGATCACCCCCTTACCACCTTACCTTCGGTCCAAAAATTAACCGGAAGCTTGTGTATTTTCTTTGATTTTTCTTCATTTTTCTTTATTCTTTTTCATTCATCCCTCTCGCTTTGCCTCTCTTTTCGTGTATAGTTAGATCATTTGATTGAAGTCTCTGTTCACAATAGGATATTTAATTGGTATTAATTAACACTCACCGGGCAAACGGGGATGAGTGTAATAGTAATGAAAATAATAATAATAATGAAAAATAAACTTTGCATTTTCTGTTTATATCTATTTCCGGTCTCCTCAAACTCACCATAGGGAGTGAGGAAGAATTGTAATTACAAATATTTCCTTCTATATATTCTTTATCATCGTTATCAATATTATCGTATTATATTTTTTTTTCTCAAATCGATATTTTGGCCTATAAAAATCACTAAAACGAATCAGCTGTTTTATAAACTTAATCTTTACCTCTTCGCTATTTCGAAATCCTATATTTTTATTCCATTTTTTTCGTCTTTTATACTTTTTTTCTTTTTTTCGTCTTTTATACTTTCGTCTCATTTCCTTATCTTTATTCATCATTACCGTGACAAACAGACTAGCAGATATATAGATAAACTGAAAGACATAGATAGTGGTTTTCCCGTGGACAAATGAAATAAATAAAGATTAAAGGAGAAGAGGAAAAGAAGAAGAAGAAGAAGAGAGAACAAAAAAATAAGGAAGGAGGAGAATAAGAATAAGAAGAGAAGGAAAGAGAAGAAGAATAAGAACAAGAACAATAAGAACCAAGAAAATATAAACACAAAAAAATAGAACGAAAGAACTAGAAACAAGAACAACAACAACAACAACAAAAAACAATAACAAAAAGCGATAAATCTAGAAGGCTACAATATAACAAAATTCTCGAACCCAAGACCAACGAATTCCAAGCGAAAATTTTTGCCCTCTGCGCCAACTTTGAAATGAAGAGAGAAAAAACAAGACAGCTTTTGTCAAGGATCTCTGGTTGGAGACAGCGGCAGAGGCAGCGGTATCAGCGGGAGGGAGGGAAGGGAGGGAGAGGAGGAAGAGGAGGTGGGAGGAGGAGGGAAGGATAAAGGGAAAGAGGGAGGGAGGGAGAGGAAGGATAAGAGGAGGGGAGTTAGGGAGGGAAAAGGATAAAGGGGGAGGAGGGACGAGAGGAGGGAAGGGGAGAGGAGGGGGGAGAGGAGGAAGGTTGGGGAGAGGAAGGGGGAGAGGAGGGAATGAGGGATAGGAAGGAAGAGGAGGGGGAAGGAAGAGAGAGAGGGAAGTGAAAGAGAGAAGGGGAAGGAAAGGAGGGGGAGGAGAGGGGGGAGGGAAGTGAGGAGAGGAAGGGGGGAAGAGAAATAAAGGGAGAGGGCAGAAAGGGGAAGGAGGAGAGATGAGGGGAGAGAATGAAAGGGACAGGGAGAGGAGAGAAAAGGAAAAAGAAAGGAAGGAGGGGATTGGAGGGGCAGGAGATGAAAGAGACATGACAGGAGAGGAAGAAAAGGAGAGCTAGAGGAAGAAGAAGAAAAGGAGGAAGATGAGAGGAGAGAGAAAAGTAAACGGAAGAAAGGGAATGGAAAAGGGAAAAGTAGCTAGAAAAGGATGATGATGAGAAAAAGAGAAGAGGGGGGAAAACGAACGAAAGGAAGAAAAAGGAGAGGGTAGGAGGTAGGAAGAGGAAGATAAGGGGGAAGAGCGCAGGAGAAAGGGAGAAAGGAGAATTAAGAGAAGATGTAACAGAAGAAAGTAGAGATGGAGGAGGTGGAAGAGGAGACGGAGAACGATGAGGAGAAGGAAGAACAGAAGGAAGAGGAAGAAGAGGAGAAGGAAAAGGAAAAGGAGGACGAAGAAAAGGAAGAGGAGGATGAGGATGAGAGGGAGGTGAAGGAGGTTGAGGAGGAAGAACAGGAGGAAGAGGAAGACGACGAAAAGGAAAAGAAAGAGGAAGAGGAAGAAGAGGAGGAGGAAAAGAAAGATGATGATGTGGAGGAAAAGGAAGAGGAGAAAAGGAAAAGGAGGTGACGGGGGAAAAGGAGAAGGAGGATGGAAAACGTTTAAGGCGAAAGCGCAGGAGAATCAATATAAATAGAAGAAAGAGAAGTAAAATACGAAAAAGAGGAGATAAAAAACTACGAAGAACAGAAGAGAAGGAGGGATATAAACAAACAAAAGAAAGAAACAGGAGGAGATGTAAATAAACCCCAGACTCTGTTGCCAGTACAATCAGAAATCAATCTCTCATATTGGAAACGTATTTACCATCGATATTGTTTTAGTAGCAGCGTATTGCAATCAAAATACGCTGATAAACAACCAAGGGAATGTAAACAGAGATACTTCTCCCAACCTGCAGTCCTCAGTCAAGATCTATATATATCGTGAGGCCATTTTTCGAAAGCACAGTCGGTCCAGAAATTCGAGCGAGCCTTTCCACCAATCAGAGGGCAGCGAGAGGGTCTTCGGTCACGTGATTCTTATACTCGTTTGACATTGGCTCCCGTGATGGACCGTTATTTTTTTTGTCTGTTTTTTCTTCTCTCTTTTTTTGTTTTCTTTTGTTTGTTTGTTTTTTTGTGTTTTTTTTTATGTTTTTTTACATCCCGCATCTTATCGAACGCGGCGCTCTCTGCACTCTCGCCAAGTAACCTAAGGAAGATATCGTGATTTCAGTCCCCGAGCCTCGCGGGCTCCAGCATTTGGAAAAATAATGAGAAAAAATAAAAAGTTGTATAAATTATTGCTGAAAATCCGACAACAGAATGATGACCCCATATCACCGGCGGCCCCAGGGCGAGGCCGCCGAAGCTTAACCCTACGGGAGAGAGGAATTACGGGCGACTACGGCTACCGCGCACGGGGGAGGGGGGGGGGACATCTACGGGGCGTTGGAATGACTGGCACCACACCGCTACGTGACACTCGCTCCGCGCGGCGCATGGCTCCCTTGGCACTGATTCGGTCACCAAGCGGCTGCAGGATACAGTGTGGCACTCACACAAGACACGTGACACACACGAGTGCCATGCACTGGAACACATTCTGGGGTCAGTGATATTCGTACATCAACAAGGGACATAATGGTGCCATGCACAAAAGGACACGATTGTGGCACTTCCGGCCAAGTGGTGCCCTGCCACAGGCGGCACCCATCCGTGCGGCGCAGTCCGGGTGACACTAAGTGCCACTTGACACGAGGGTGTTATTCGTACCCTACACAATTCACACACTACTACAACACTCATCACCGTTAACACGAGCAGGACCAGTTCCCGGCGCGGCGCCCTGCCGGCCCCGCCGGCGCCTCGGCGCGGGGGGGGGGGGCCCTGGGCGGCTCGGCGCGGCCAGGCCCTCGGCGGGCTCGCTCGCGCCCTGGACGCCCGTCGCTCGCTCACACGTACATCTTTTTTGCTAACTGTCAATGTAGAAGAATCAAAACAAAATAATAATGGTCTATAAAAATCATCTATTTCTTATCCTGTTTAGTCTCTTTCGCGCATCACATGAGGTCCTTCGCATCGCACACGCCGCTGCCAGACGCCGCGCGAGCTCAGCTCAGCTGGTAGTACTCGGGCGCGAAGTCGTTGGCCAGGTTGGAGAGGAAGTTGAAGTCGGGAGGAGTTGCTGTTCTCGCTCGTGCTGCCGTGCTGCCGCCGGTGCGCCCCCGCGCCGCGCCGGCACCGTTGCCGCCGCCGCCGCCGCCGCCCTGCTCGAAGAAGTTGAAGGTGAAGTTGAGGTCGTGGTCGTGGGTCTGCTGGTGGTTGGCGTACTGCTGCTCCTGGTAGGCCACGCCGTCCGCGCTCGCGCCGTTGGCCCCGCCGCCGCCGTAGTAGCCGCCGCCGCCGCCCTGAGACATGTTGTTCATGCTGGCCATGTTGGCCA